ATCAGCAAACACACACACATATATATATATATATATATATATATATATATATATATATAGGTATATATATTATGCAGTAATTATTACCAATTAGTTCATATAATCGGCTCATAATGCGCCCCTGTAAGTTAAGATTCAACTCTGTAGATAAGCCGAGTGTTTGTAACCAGCCATACCTAGTGGACCCTTCATGATCTTTTGCTGTAGTAGGGCAGTTTATGATTTAAGTTTATGACCATTGCTGTTCAGAGGGAAGTTGTTAAAAGAAAAGTTGTACCAGACCTGCCAAGGAACGTTCGACATCAGAAAAGCTCGCGCACGCTTTCTTTCTTTTACATTTTGTGTCATGCATTTACGTTTTACTTTTAGTTGCGACTTGCTCACATATTCAACAGATTTTTGTACACACTTAAAACTACCTTTTGAAAAATTAGAAATCGCAATAAAAATAAAATTAACGCAAACATTTAACAACGGTATTGACGATAAAGAAAAGAATGAATTATGTATATAAATAGAACTAAGAAATTAAAAATAATGTATTTCCATTTAGACGTCTACGTTATACGGCAAAGTTAACTTATTTTGCTAGAAGAACATTAATTTATTTAATGTCAAATTTATAACAGGTCGCTATTTGAACAAACGGAAAGTAATATATAATTATCTTATTATTACTATTTATACTTATATTTATAATATGGCTTACCTAAAACAATTCCTTTCCTTCTAATTAGAGCAATATATGAAGTATAGTGAATTTACTCGATTTGTTGCCTGTGACATAATAGCAACTTCATGCGTTCATTAATATTTACTAGATTCTAGTACACATTTTAATATAAAGCATAAATCAGCTCATATTATAGCACAGACATTAACTAATCAAGTGTGATCCCAACTTTTACGCATATTGTGTAAAAATATATTAATTAAATCATCGCTGCCTATACATGAGTTTTGATTACAAACGTCCGTACCGGCAAATAATATATCTATATATACACCTCATAATAATATTATACGTCCCAGAAACGCGCTTTACAAAATATCACGGAAACCTTATAATTGGGTAGCGACCGCCACCGCGCACTGGAGGCAATACGCACGCACTTAAATTCTTTAAAACCAACCATCGAACAGTGCATTCACAGAGCGAACGAGACGGAAGGACAGACCAGAAGAGTCGCTAAACAATAAGGCGACGACGACAACGATGACGATGACGATGACGATGACGTCAGTACAGTCACCCACGGTCATGACCATGCAAGTCGTTCGTTGCACTGATCATGAACCAATCTGTCTGTACCACTGAACTATAACAATTTGTTATATAGTAGTATACTGTAGTTCAGTGGGGCTAACGCTCCATTAGGAGTGTTCCCAACTTTGATATCATTAATGATTAATGAACCACAAACTAATATATGACCATGACCATATATATATATATATATGTTATTATGACCATTAATGACATTAAAGTTGGGAACACTCCTAATGGAGTATCACCGTTCAGTGGCCTGTACTCGGCACGACACGACAACCGGTTGACATCAGCGGTGGGCTGAACATCTTTATAGTACACGCACGTTCTGAGCTCGAACCTAGTCACCACGTACACGTTCACCAACGCTGACCACCACTCCTCGTATATACATACGCGTCCTTATCACACGCACGCACGTACACGCAGCATGTACACGCACGCACGCACGCACGCACGCACGTACACTCACGCACGTGCACGCACGTACACGCGCCCACGCAGACGGACTCATATGGACAAGTAATGTATTGCTCCTTCCCTTGTATACACATATTGCCATAGCTAACCTATAAGCAAGCTGCTGTCTAGTGGGTCATAAAGACACCGGTGACAAAATGCTGCGACACACACAAACAAATGTGTATCGCATGCACCACAGCTGACTGCTACACATACCCACGAGAGAACAGCCACCTGTTATACCGTGCCCTACCTCTGTCATAACTATTGTGCATAGTGCATATACTGCAGAGATGTAACAAGTACTCGTGTCTACAACTTGAACCAAAAATATACACATTATACGGTCTCGTTCATTTTAAATAACTTAACAACTAGCTGGAGGGAAAATAACAACAATAAACAAGAGTCACGCGCGACAAAAGAAAAAAATGCAATTCTTGCAGTCTTGGACGAGCGACTGACATTAACTTGATATTGAACTAACTGATAAAAACCACATCTAAATCAAACCGACCCAAAATACATTACAAGCAATATATTTTTCTTTCAAGATGATGATGAAAGGTTAAATCACCCATCTTAAAATTGTTCTTAAAGTTATGCAACCTAGAAAAACCCAATTAAATATTATGATGGGGGAAAATAATTTGTCAAAACGCAGGGTTAAAAATGAACTCTTGTCACGCAGCAACTTCTTGCTGCAAGAAGAAAAAAGGCAGGCAGCAAATTTACTATCCAGGCAGAATCCTTCGTGCTTTTACTATGGTCCGATACGAATTTCTTGGCAGCAAGTATTTGCTACCGACGTTGAGAGCAGGCAGCAAAACTGCTGCTTGCTGACCTTAATTTCAAACCCCCGAGAATGCCTTGTAAATTGCGGATAAGTATTGTGAGTTTACGCTCCGGTGAATATTCCCATTTTTTTCTATCTTCCTGAAATCGATGGCTGCTAGCTAATATGGTGACAACTCTTATTCAATGACAATCTTTCTTGAACAGTCTGATATCAGCAGTCATAACAAGTATGATTAAATAATGGTTTAGTGTTACTACAAATGCATTATTAATTACTAGCCAATCAAGGTGGTGTCATGCGCTACTCATATCGACCAACCTGTCACAACATTCAAAGTGTTAGTTTACGAAGCTCTTTGAGAACACCATTTAATCTATATTATCACCAATCAGCAAACACACACACATATATATATATATATGTTGTCATTTACTATGCTACACTACAAGCAATCGGCCTATACAACATTTGCATGGCACAAGTGTCATATCACCGACTTCTAGCTCAGCAGCAAGGTTTGGTCCGCCCATCTGTGACAGCAGCTGAATGATCTGCATCGCAGTGCGATCGTCTCTCGACAAGTGAACGTTCACTTGTTTCTGCGTCTCCTGCTCCTTCTGGTGGTCGTCGGGAACGTCGGATTCCCCGCGCGACTCAGTTTCCTCCGTATCGGACACGTCGATATCTGGCCAGTCTGGAAACAACGGAACGTCTCAAGCGATAATCGACATTTGCGGTAAACTGTGATTCATGGTTGCATCTCATGTACATTAAAATTACTGGTAGTATACTGCTAGCATCGTCACATCTCTTTCATCCGCTCGGTCGACCGACACAAACAGACGACGTCGCCACATGACGCCACGACTAACCGTTTATCTGGGAATCGTCCAGGTCTCCCGCGAAGGTCGTTGGGTTCGTAGCATCGTTGAGTATCTGCTGCACTTTCTCGCTGGTCGCACCCGGAAGCAAGCGTCTCTCTCCCAGCAGTTGCACGACGAGCGCCTGTAACTGCCCCAACTTTTCCTGCAAGCATACGCACGATGAACGCAGTGTGGCACAGCGAGCGATGCTTGTGCAGCTACTTGTGCCTTCGCCAGCTTCCTGTAGGCATGCTCACGCATCAACCCATCACCACACCTGTCTGCCTACCTGTATATCCAATTACTAGCCTGCATGTCTGAATGAATGCTGTGACAGATCGTGCATGAAGGGTTTTCTAAAGTGTCAACTATTCCACTTTCCAGCCTGTGTGGTTATGCAATTTTCAGACCTTCGTGGTCATTTACTCGCTAACGCTACTGATTATTGACTTTCCAATTTTCTTGATGACTCCCTTGATACCCACTTCCTCGCTAATTCACATACTAGCTTGCTAGACACATGCAGATTCCAGCCTCCATGTCGGAGTAGCTTGCACCACTACAAGTGAGCTGACACATGAACGCACAGCATTGGGCGACTTGCCTGAGTTAACGTTTTCTCCTGGGCCAGCAGAGCTAACAGCTCGTCCTTCCGCCTGGCTCTGTCCTTCATCTTCTCGCGTTGGGCGTGATACAGCGAAATGTACTCTCCTGCAACACAAGTCCACAGTATGTATATTGACTCCATCAGGGAGCCCAAACGCTATCATGTTACTACCGAATCAAGTAAGCTTCCTGCTGTAAAAAAACATGGTAAGGCAGATTCTAATCTTATAAAATTTGGACAAGAGTACGTCTATAGTTTATACTAGCAGGTGGTGTCGGCATACCTATATAGCATCAGCTAATAGTAGATGTGGGCATACCTATAGTATCAGTCTCTCCCTGCAGCTGCATGATTAGATGCTCCATCTGCTGGTTTCGATCCTGCATGTCAGCATTCTCCTGCATAGCCCTGATGAATCGTTCCTATAGAGAGGCAGAGCACCCTAGGTTAACACCGATGCACACAGTCTGCGTACATCCACACATTCTGACCATCATTATGAGGAAATGAGAGGTGAAAGTGAAATGGTATCAAATGCAGCAACACCAATGAATTATGAAACGTTTTTGCACTGCCTACAAACACCAAAGCTTACACATAGAATTTTTATTCAATCAGATAACATTTGATAGCTTGGGCTGTTTAGGACTGCCTTTCTGTCGTTTACTCCTCTCTCTTTCTCCCCCCAGTGCCTGTCTCTGCCCTCCCCCCCCTCTCTCTCTCTCTTTTTCTCTCTTTCACCTCTCTTTGCTTTTCTCCTCTCTCAACCCTCAGCCCCTAGCATTTCTCTCTCTCCTCCCTCTCTTTCCATCACTCCTCTCTCTCCCCTAGCATCTCTCTCTTTCTCGCCCCTTTCTGCCTCGCTCCTCCTTCCCCTTCTCCCTCTCTCTCCCCTCTCTGCCTCTCTCCTCCTTCACCTTCTCCCTCTCTCTCCCCTCTCTGCCTCTCTCTTCCTTCACCTTCTCCCTCTCTCTCTCCCCTCTCTGCCTCTCCCCTCCTTCACCTTCTTCCTCTCTCTCTGCCACTTCTCCCTCTCTCTCTCTCCCCTCTCTGCCTCTCTCTTCCTTCCCCTTCTCCCTCTCTCTCTCCCCTCTCTGCCACTTCTCCCTCTCTCTCTCTCCCCTCTCTGCCTCTCTCCTCCTTCACCATCTCCCTCTCTCTCTCCCCTCTCTGCCACTTCTCCCTCTCTCTCTCCCTCTGACCTGCAGCTTCTCCATCGACGTGCGCAGCGTCGTGTAGTCCTCCTGCGAGACGAGGTTGCCGTCGCGCGGCGACACGGCGGGAATCTCGCGTCGCAGGCCGCTCAGCTCTCCCTGCAGCTGCGAGTGTTCCTCTCCCTGCTCGCGCAGCCTCAGCGTCAGCTCATCTCGCTCCAGCTGCAGCTGCTGCAGCGCCACTGACAGATCGCTCATCTGATGACGAAACGGAAAAGTGGAAAATTATTTTTCCCCATCTGACAACAAACCTGTAACCTGTACGTATGTACATGATGACGAGGCGGGAAAACCAAACGCGTCAAGTATCGTGAGCGCCACCTTCTGCCGTTTGCACGCGATTCTCTCGGCGTTACGGCGGTGGGAAAGACTCGAGAATGTTAACATGCTACGAGATTGAAATCACATCCAGTGAATTATACGCATGAGGGCAAGAATGTCGTCGGTTTTCACGCAGATGCAATATCTTTTATTGCATGATTTAATAATTTAGTATCTTGCTATTCTTATAAGTGGTGTCAGATGATGAGTGAACGTGGATGCTAGCCATTACCATTGCATCTTTCTTGGCTTCTTCCTGTGGCATTACTAGCCGCTCGTCCTGCAAAGCCAACTGCTGCAGCAGCTCCATCTTCTGGTTGGTCAAGGCATTAATAGTATCCTAAAAAGCCAAATGATAATTTCTCTGAGCTCAGAAGTCAACAACTCGGCCCATCAAGGATATGCAATAGTAACATTGACAGTATCCATAGACCAGCAACTAAAGTGAAGCGTTTGGTTGATAATACGAACTAATAAAAGTTTAATCACATTTTAATTAATTAGCTATTAAAAATAAACAGCACATGGCATCCTTAAACATGCACACCAGTGAAAATATGCTTAGACTAAAAGAAAATTAACCTGCTTCTATTCATTAATTGCCTATTTCTAGCTCGTGAGAGACACAGCTGTATTTCTTATTTAAAACATGGAACAATGTGTTTTTTTTTTTAGAAATAAGTTGCCATCATATTTTTTAACGTGGAGCGATGCTTTGGTGTTTTTTGCCTCACCTGTGCACTGCTCAGCTCACGCTGTAAGGTCTCCACTAGCTGGCTCTGCGCCTCGTAGTGACGTAGTCTGTCCGATATCTGATCCTGCGTGTACATATCCTTGCTTTGCTCGACGTAAAACGATTCGAGCTGCCTCTCCCTCTTTGTTAGCTAAAACAGAACATTAGAAATGCATGCACTGGAATACAGAATCCCTAAACCACAGGGTTGGGGTAGGGAATCAACATATTTTCTTGTGTGCATTATGTTCACCGGCGGGTTGGAAGCGAGAAGGTTCTGGTCACATCATTACATTTCCACGTGAAATGGCTGCAATATTTCGAAAACTGCGAACCTCGCCTAACAGTGGATATGCTCACCTGCAGCCTGACCTCGCCCAGTTCCTCTTCCTGCTGGGTCAAACGATGTGCCAGCTCCTTGGAGATGTGACCTTCAGAGTCGAGCTTCGTTGTGAGCTCCATGTTGTCATTACTCTGCAACGAAACAGAACGTAGAGTGAAGCAAACGATCGACATCTGAATCGCTCGCCACTGATCAGTAATATAAACACGATATATCGGTAATATGTAAACCACATATGCAAAGGGATGGAGACACTTGCAACTCGCACTTGTCATTGTCACTGTGGCAACGAATTATCACTGTTTCAATAATAATTATTAAATTATAGAAAATTAAATATTATTAAATTAAATTAAAATATTAAATGATTAAATGATAACATTAATAATACAACAGTTATATTCGTTGGAGACAATCTCAGTGACCAGCACTCACCATTTTCACAAATTGTTCCTGTAGTTCAAGAAGCTGTGTCTTCAGCTGCTTATTCTGTGCCAATGCTCGACTAATTGTGACCTTGTCGCTCTGGAAACGAGGATGCAAATTCATCGTAATCACGCCACACTATCTCAAAAGAAATTCCGTTATCCGTCGGAGATTTCCGGACCGTTTTGCATAATATCAAAGCAAAAACCGCAAGACTGCCGTTACAAGTACGAAAAATCTAATAAACACCTGGCACAGACGCACGCACGCACGCACACATGCATGCACGCACAGATGCACGCACACACGCACGGCGCGCGCACGCATGCATGCACACACGCATGGCATGGCACACATGTAACCTCTGCACGTAAAGGGTACGAAAGCGGCAATGCTCATAAAACACACATTTTTGCAAACAGCGCCAGCCGTCAGTTTCCACTCGCTGTGTTCTCACTAGGGCGGCAGCGATATACAGGAATGAGAATGAAGAATTTCAATTTTAGACAAAATCACGGTGTAGGGTAGAGGGAAGAAGCCAACTATTCACATATTTCACATACACTTACCCCCCCCCCCATAAACTTTTCTCATCGAATTTAGATGTTTCACAAAATCGACCCCAAGGACTGTCAAATTCCGAGAAATTTCTCAAATCCGAGGAAAATTCTCATCCCTGGATATACACGCCCGTAGAGGGCGGCGGTGATACACACGCCTGTAGAGGGCGCCAGCGATAAACACGCCTGTAGAGGGCGCCGGCGATACACACGCCTGTAGAGGGCGCCAGCAATACACACGCCTGCAGAGGGCGCCGGCAATATACACGCCCATAGAGGGCGCCAGCGATAAACACGCCTGTAGAGGGCGCCGGCAATACACACGCCCGTAGAGGGCAGCGATACACACGCCCATAGAGGGCGCCGGCTATACACACGCCCGTAGAGGGCGCCGGCTATACACACCTGCACGGCTTCGAGGAGCTTGCGCTTCGTCTCGGTGTCCTGGTCGTAGCGTTCGAGCTGCATCTCCGCACTCTGCAGCTTCTCGTGCCGCTGCTCCAGCATGCGGCTCAGCTGCGCGTTGTCGTGAACCTGCCAGAGATCAGCGACGAGTCAAACGCTGCACGCAGCGGCGCGACGTCAGAGCGTCTACAGGCCTCCAACAGGCACACACATACACACATACACGCACTCATGCACGCACACAACACACGCACGCATGCACGCACACAACACACGCACGCATGCACGCACACAACGCACGCACGCACACACACAAACATTCACACGTGCACAAACAGACAGGCAGGCACGTACGCACGCACGCACACGCACACGCACAGCATTCCCTCGACAAAAAATTCATTCTATACCATATAGTTTTTGACATGGAGCTCTAATCATCGCATTGTAGATGCACGTTTGTTTGCAAATACTAGGGCTAGGGGGCGCTGTGCGAGCAGGTAACACACCTGAGATTGGTATTGACGAGAGGTGCTGTCCAGTTCTGCCGTGAGTCGTTGCACCTCATCTTGAAGCTCTGCGAACTCTGCCCCCACCACCCGACTCTCTGTTGAATACTGCTCCTTATTTGCTATAATCATAAGGGTTAGGGTTAGGGTTAAACAATACCATAACGATACCATAAGGGATCGTTCACAATTATCAACATTTTCACAAGTGTACAAAGAGTACACTTTTTCGGGACCCCTCCTTCCCCCCTAAAAGTGTACGAAGAAAAATGTTGATTTTTCTTACACTATTCTACAGAGATACATGTATATGAATTACATGCAAACCCTGGAACAATTGATCCAGGTCTCCAGCGCGGCTAGAACTATTGCCTGCCATCGTGCTGGTTGTTTACACTGCACTCGGCTGCTAGCTAGCTAGCTCGGTTCGTTCGTTCAGCAGGCCCGTGCGGGGCGCGGGCAGGCCGGGGCTCGGCGCGTCGCGGCGTGAGGATGCGCGCGATGCCGGCTGGGGTGCGCGGCGTGGGAAATGGATCAACATTTTTCGGAAATGCTGAAAGCGTACGGCGGGCATTGACCCCCTCCCCCTCCCTAGCGTACGGTTTGTATGCCTGTGAAAATGTTGATAATTGTAAACGACTCCAAACCGAACATCTATGGTAAGAAAGTTATCAACTACGTAACCTTGTCAAAGTGATCTGAGAAGCACCTGGGCATAGAAACGAGCACGAAATGATGGACCAAAAGCTAGGTGGAGAATGTGATTCTGATTAAGGTATAAGTGTGACAAGGCACGTAACAATTTTTCCCAATATGATGTTACTACACTAATACTTAGACTATTGGTAGTACTTAGACTCGTAACACTATACGAATAATATTCACGATGTAGCAGTCTTCAATCTTGGTCTCTCTCTTTGTCGTACTCTGCTTCTGCCTCTCGCCCTCTCTTTCTCGTCTTTCTTGCTAACACACACACGTGCACACGCACAGACATGCACACATGCACACAAACACACACACGCGCACGCAAACACACACACACACACACACACACACGCACGCACGCACGCACGCACGCACGCAAACACGCACGTACGCACGCACGCACGCACGCAAACACACACACACACGCATGCACCCGCTAACATACACATTCACCGCATGCACGCACACATGCATGCTTCACACATTCACACGCACGCACGCACGCACACACGCACCTAGCTGCGTCCTGAGCTCCTCCACTTGTCCAACGAGGTCCTCCTTCCAGCTGCAGAACTGGTCGCGCTCCTCGGTGACACTGCTCAGCCTCAGCTTCACCTCGTGCAGCTGCCGATTCAGCTGCTCCGTATACTTCTGGTACTGATCCGACAACTGCTCTCTCTCGTCCGTCACCCGCTGCAATGACTCCTGCACCTGCGAAACCAGTGCGGGATCAACAGCGTGTAAAACATCTACTTAACAATATATATAATTATATGTAATCAGGAGCTAATAATGACTAATTTGTCATTATTAGCTCCTGATGTAATATATATATATATCTATCTTATTATAGTTAACAACTATTAGAGCAATACTGCCGCGCCGCGCACGCGTAATACCGGCTCGTCGGCAGCCGAAATGAGACGGAAACAATGAAAGCTCTCAGGTTTTCTTTTGCGTCAAACTCGAGTTAAAACAGGGCACGAAAAAAGTTTTGATGTGGGTACAAATAATCCTTCATCCGTTTTGAGCAATCAGAGTAGTTACTTGAATTTGCAATCATGTTGTGAAATTTTACGTGGTGGGTCCCCGGGGGGTACACCACACGCTCCTATGTCATGTATTCTATCGTAACTGCCTGTCACAAGCAGAGCCGTGCCAGGTCCTGTGTGCTGCAGTGGCTAGGTCGAGTGTAGTATAGTAACCCTCGAAGAACAAGAACAACCAGAACGCTTCTATGCGAGTTACAGCGTATAGCTGACAGCACATTACCTGCATCACCTTCTTCGCCAACTCTTGTCTTTCTCGTTCCATGTCCTCCAGTTGTTGCCTTGCATCGTGTTCATTCTGGCTGGACACCTATAACCACGCACACACACAGAATTACACATGTACAAATAGAAATCATTTAGGAGGTCACACCAGCACACAGAATTACACATGTACA